TTTGAAAAAAATTCGGGGAGAGGTGGAAAAAATTTTTTGAAAAAACGATGAGTGAATATATCCCAGAATTGATCTGCTTGTGGGCTGAGCTGCATGCGGGCTGAGCTGTATATACTTTGTGTAATGCATATGTGTGATGATCATGCATGAATGTGCATGAACATGCATAAACATGCCTAAACGAGTTTGATTGATGCATGATTGGTGTTTATGTTCGAACCAATCGAATGCATGAACGAAAAAATATAAAGGAGTATTTCCGTTGATTTTTTTCGAATGAATAAATTTTTATACAAAAAATGATGAGATTTCTGTGGTTAGGCTGAGGGACTCGATCTCTGAGAACAATACGCGTGGGACTTTTCATAAATATTTTGTGGTTTGTATGAGTCATTTGAATGGAGACAATTTTAAATCATATTTGCTGCTGAAGAACTCGATCCATGAGATGAGTACGAGAGTTATTTCGAGATGAGATCTGAGGACTTGATCTTTCAAGCGAGTCTTGTGAAATTTTATGGCTGCATGGTTTATTCTGAGACAAGGGCTGAGGGACTTGATTTTTCAGATGCAAGTGGGTGTCATGAGATGGTTGCGTGTGTTTAATTTAAGATGAAGGCTGAGGATTTTGATCTTTCAAATGCAGGTATCATGAGATTTTGTCGGTTTACTTGTTTCATTGTGAATAATTTATATGGTTAATCTTCTATTGTGTGATTCGAGATATGGTCACTTGAGAATTTTGTATACATTTGTGTTTCAGAACGGATGATCGAAGATAAACAAAAATAGATAAGTGTTTTATTTAAAAATACCATTTCAGTTTTCAGATTTTGAAACTAAACATTTTTTACTTCGATAAAAACTTTTTCGAACTAGTAACATATCAAATTTTGATATTAGACATTTTCACCTTCGATAAAAACTTTTCTAATAACATCAAATTTTGATGTTAGATATTTTTGCTTCCAATAATAACTTTGAATCGAAATAATTTTATATATTGTTACAGGTCAATATCCGACAGTGGAACATTGCCAAGTGACAAAATCCCAACAAAATTGTTCCAATTATTTAACTCGATTTGATTTTATTGAGCATTGTTTTGACAAGGTTCACCGGGGATGTTACCGATTAATCATGGCATCATTTATTGAAAAACTTTTGATCTTCACAAGCTTACTTTTAATATTCTTATTCTGTGGACTGAGATATACAGTTTATATTATCTTCTTTGTAATTTCATATGATTATTCGAAAGTATTGGATAGGTTTATGATGATTTATATTTTTTTGGTAAGTTGTTTTGTATATTTAAATGTACTTAATATACGTATTTAAAATATGTACTGACGTGGTTATATAAATGATAGGATCCAAATATTGGAGGATGGTAAATAAAATGAAAAATTTTGATCAATTAACGTATTTTTTCGCATTCTTATTATCTATTACTCTCGAAATAATAACATATTATGAATTGAATAGTCACAAAATTCGAGCTAGTCGAATATATCTTATCGCTGTGATAGCAATATTTACATCTTTGGAAATATATACTTTATTTTCAAACGTACGAAGTTCATATAACGAATTTCAGAAATGGTGTATTGAAATTGAGGAAAATTCGAGATATCATATTTATTGATTGATTGAAGGTGAGTGTGGATCGATGATGTTATTTGATAAGGTACACCTGTCGGGTCCCGCGTGACCATCGGGATGGGTGTTAAAATTGTCTCTGATAGTGGCGAGGTGCTGACACTCAATCTTTATTCTTAGGGGATTTGAAAATCGATGAATGATTATATCGAGTGGATGTCATCCTTTTAACGATAAGAATGAATAGGATGAATCAAGGATTTAGGATAAATATTCATATAATCTAACGGAATATCAATTGGTATTTCCCTTTTTCCTTTGCTGGTATTCATCGGTCAATTTTAAACCAATTTTTATTTTGTTGATAAGTTTTTTGGCACATAGATCGATAGTTAAGTTTTTATACATAGATCAATTATATAGCTTGTTAAGTTTTCGTAATATATCATATATATATTTATATTTATATAATCTAACGGAATATCAATTGGTATTTCCTTTTTCTTTGCTGGTACAAATAGATAGAATGATAGATTAATAAAGTTAAATCCATTCAAATTTTTAAAATCAATATAATATATCTCTTGTGTTAAAGGTAAATTGATTTTTGTTAAATCAATTTAAGATGTAGTCGAGATTCGTGATAAACTTTTCCCAAGGATTCAGGATGATACCGGTATTAATTTGAAGAATGACCGTATTATGTGGTATAGTGGATATCTAATTTTTTCTTGAGGGTATTAATTTCGTGATTGGTTTCTTGAAAATTAGAAGACATTAGAATGTTAGAATGTATTGCAATGAATGTCTTAAAGATCTCTAATTGGTATTTGGGAATTTGCGGATCGTGATTTGATGGGTTATATAAATGCATGTGGATCCACCTTTACGGTATTCAACATTCTATTTTGATATATAATTCAAAAAGTATAAAATGCCTTCGATATTTACACCTTTCAAATTTGCATCTCGAATTGCGAGAAAATTCAAAAATCTAAATTCCCAAACGTTAAAAAAAATGATTCCACATATTGCAGATCCATCCACTCCTGGATTTTCATACCTCTTTTTATTTCAATCTCAACATCAAGTTGATGTTGCTGAAATTTTGGGAGAATTCCCGCGAGCATTTGATGTTGCATCATTTGCAGTCCAGAATTATAAAGACGATCCCACTCTTTTTATTAATGAAAAGATCAAGGCGGATATCAGAGATTTTACACAAAACATTATGATTGAGATTGGTGAGCCAGAAGAACCCAAATGGGAACATGGAAGTTGGGATGGAGATGAAACGGAAGAAGAATTTAAAGAAAGATTGCGTTTATATGAGGAAGAAAAAGTTAAATGGTTAACTGTTAATTCATTTTTATATTTCTGTGGTCGTAATGATTATATCTATGAATATAGATTTCTATAGTGTGTTACATAATTATCTTGATTATAAATTTATGTAATTTACAGTGTATTTATCTAAATAAAGTTAAATATTAATGAGCGAGATTTGGTGTAGCTCGATTGCTTATAAATATGTGTGAATTTCCATTTGTGTGCTGATTTAAAAAGTATAAAATACCCTCAAATTCACGAGTAAAATTTTTATTAATCGAATAATACTTTAATGATTCTTATCAAATTTATACGCACAAGAATTTTCAAGATATGAAAAAAAATGATTCTTATCAAATCCATACGCACAAGAATTTTCAAGATATGAAAAATAATTTACCTTCATCGAAAATAGCTATTATTCGGTTCACCTTTATAATTTAAGAAACATTTGAATGATTTTTATCAAATCCATATGCACAAGAATCTTCAAGATATGAAGAATAGAATTGATCCAATGTCACTAGAGAATGGAATTGAAACGACTCAAGAATTAAATTAGAATATTAATTTGTATGTTTCAGAAGTCTATTCAGGAAAAAATTACTATTCAATAACAGCCTGTTTAGTAATTGTCCAAAGATTCAAAATAGGAGAATCGGCGGGAGACGAGTTTAAGTATTTACACGAAAGAAACATTATAAGTTAATCTTCAATGAGTTTGTTGGAGTCAAAGTCTTTGATATTTTTAGGATTATTTTTTCATCTTTGATTAATGTGAAGATGGAAGAAATGAATAATACGTATGCTCAAGATCATAAAATACATTAATATTTTAGATAGTGACAATGAAATGAGTTTATTGGAGTCAAAATCTTATAATTTCTTAAATGATATACAAACGTGGGAATACCTTTTTGGGTAAACTTGCGTGTTATTTTTATGCACCCCTTATTTTCTAAGAATATGTCTATTAAGAATAAATATCTCTGCTACGTTCATTTATGAAATAAAATATGATTGAAACCATTTTATGCTCGATAAAATTTTATCGATAAGATAAACGAATGTGTGACTATTGATGTATTGCAGCATGCGCAATTACTTAAAAAGTGTTGACAACTGACAAAGAAATCCTTGAATATCAAAAAACGAAACTTTAATATTTGAATAAAATGAATCATCGAAGGAGGGTAAGTTTTAATCATTTGAATACAAAATGCTTTCATCCGTTGCTAAAGGAAATTTTCTTGAAAACCAGGTGCATGAAAAACTTCAACAAGTAAATGTTGAATCGAGAAGAGTTGGAAGAAGAGGAGATAATGGAGTGGATATCGAAGGAACGATAGCAGGAAGACCCTTTATAATACAAGCCAAGAACTGGGCGACTGTGAGAATTGGTAAGTTAAAAGACTTACTAAGCCTGTTGAGCTATTATGCTGTTCATAGTTACGCTGCCAGCATAGAACCCCAGAAATGTGAACCTGTTAGCCAACAGTGGGGGTTGTGATGTGGGCCAGGTTCATGGTGAAATGACTTTATGATGGACTAAATTGAAAGCTCATCGTGGCCACAATAAATAGGATTTATTGTGAACGTTCTTTAGGAAATCTTGATAGTGATGATGCACACTTACCAAAACTTAATTATAGGACCAAGTACTATTAGAGAACTTGAAGGAACACTTGGAAGAAGACCGATTGGAACTATAGGAATTGTGGTGATTCCAACTGACAACCGGTATACACAAGGAGCAAGAAGATATGTTCGAACATCAAAATATAAGATATTATTAACCGATATAGATGATTTGTGTACAGATTTTGTTGATTTTATAGAGGGGATGGAGACGTTCAGATTTTCATATAAAATGTTTAAAATTTCATTTACTCTAGGGATAATTCTGTACATAATGTTTAATAAATTTTATAATTATAAATAGGATGTAATTTGAATGTAAAGTATTAAAAAAAGATGACGATACCATCTCTAAAATTCTTGGGGAGAAAGATGTATGATGAGGATCGATGTATCAAATTTTTGTTTAAGAAAGGAATTATATTGAAACCTCATGAATGTTCGCTGTGCAATTCTTCAATGAAATATTATAGAAAATTTTTTGTATGTGATAATCAACAATGTCGAAAGTGGACTTCTATTTTTAGGAATACATTCTTCACGAGAAGTCGTCTTCAGTGCTCAGATGTAATGCTTATTGGATATTATTGGTTGTGTGGTGCAACGTATACAGTAATCTTGAATGTGACAGGATATGCTTCTCTCACTATTTCAAATTACATGAGATATTTTCGCGACTTGGTAATTGAAACATTGAATGATGATGATTTGATGATCGGTGGAGATGGAATTGTCGTGGAGATAGATGAATCAAAATTTTGTAAAGGAAAAGATACTGATGGAATTTGGGTGGTTGGTGGTGTTGAGCGAACAGAGAAACGAAAATGTTTCTTTGTGGTGGTTGATCGGAGGGATGCAGAAACAATTAGAAGTATTGTGTCAAAACACATTAAACCAGGTTCCATAGTCGCAACTGATTGTTGGCGAGGTTATCAAAATCTTGAAGATTTTGATATAATACATGAGAAGGTAAATCGATCGATATCATTTGTAAATATGAATGGGACACATACAAATACGATTGAGGGAACTTGGCGGGGATTGAAGATACGAATTCAACCTCGACATAGAGGTGCTGAATCAATTGAGAAATATTTGTTAGAATTTATTTGGCGACGAAAGCATGAGAATGATTTGTGGCAAGGGTTACTTGATGCCTTGCGTACGATTAGATACACGTGACATCAAATAATAAATTATGTCATTTTATTTTTTGATTATATATCATTTCGTGATGTTAATTTATAAGTTTCAAATATTGGTCACAAATATCATGATGTTAAGTTCCTCAGATATCGGCTGCATCATTATAAAATATCATGATGCTAAGTGTCATTATTAAATCATGAAATATTACATTTCATCATTTATTTTTGTGTTATAAATATCTTGTTTTATTGTTTGTATTGGATTTATCTTCCAATTTTTAATCATGTGAGTTTATCCTAGCATATGTTCGAAATTTTCGAGAAAAAAAATTTTCTTTTACTGATTTTATTATCAATCCTCCTCGAGAATGAATTATGGTGCCGATGACCAAGATCAGAATTATGCTCGCGATGATGGTGCCGATGACCAGAATTATGCTCACAATTATGGTGCTGATGACCAAGATCAGAATTATGCTCGCGATGATGGTGCCGATGACCAGAATTATGCTCGCAACGATGGTGCCGATGACCAAGATCAGAATTATGCTCGCGATACTCCTCGCGGTTCTCCACCTATTCGCCAGATTCTCGATATTCCTCCTGCTCGTTTACCCAATATTCATAATGTTGTCCGTCCTCCCATTGTTCAAAATATTCAGAATATCCGTGATTTCCGAAATCAGGAAGATGATGAAATTTTCTTTCGCTTAGCACTTCGTCCTGTTGATGAGATGTCTAATAATCAATTGAGAGATGAACTTACTATCCTTCGCAATGGTATCTCTCAACTTCGCAAAAGAGTTGATATTATTTCCGAGGAAAAGTCGGCTCGTCGTTCTGAAGAACTTGCTCGCAAACGTCGTCGTCTTCGCGCCCAATTAGAATTATCAGATAAAGGAGATGGTGAAATTAAAAAAATGTTGTATGTATTGTTGTATCGTTTTGTGTTATTTGTATTATACTCTTCGCATCATCACTTTACTAATTTAATTCTTTATTTTAGTAATTTCTAAATGTTAGAATTTATCTGGCAATAAGCGCAATGCATAGGTTACTTGATGGCTTGTATACAGTCAGATACACGTGATATCAAATGATAAATTATATAATGAGTGAATTGATGATTTTTATTTCTATCGTGTAATGAATTTTTCAGCTGAAATTATATCTCGAATATTTAATCATGTTGATGATCCAAAAGATTTTCAAGTCCTCTCGAGAGTTTCAAAGGAATGGAAACATGTTCTCGACCATCATCCATTTTGGGAATATCTTATACGAGATTTGAAACTTCCAGAGCCGAGGAAAAAAGCAATCAAATATAAAACACATAAATCAATTTTTATTAAACACATCAATATATTGTGTCGTTGTAAGAGAGGTTATAAAAAAAATCAATCGAAAATTTGGGATCGGATCGGTATTCTTCATGATTTTTGTCTTGATAAACATATCTTCTTTAATGGATCAAGAAATTATTGTTTTTTTCAATATAAAACTCTTGGCAGATATATATGTGATGGGTTTAATGAAATTGTTGCACATTGTAATGATGAAATGTGTGATGAGAAGTGTAAAAAAAATATATTAAAATTGTTAATAGATTTTAGGAATAGAATTTATAAACAGCGAAGAGATCTTGAGAAATTTTGTGTGTTCGAGAAATATTTTATTGAAGAATATTTTAATGTGGTGATTACAAATTTATATAAGATAATTCGAAATGAAACTATATATATTGAGATGTATAATTGCAATTGTCATAAACATTATTATAAGATTAAATAAAATATTTTAACGCATTTTAAAGGTGCGAATCTGATTGTAAAGACTATCCCGATGGTTATATTTACCACCAGACAAATTGGATAGATATGTTTTCATTTTTAAAAAAAAAATAAAATAAAATAAAGTGAAATATGATGTATTTATATTTTGACGTAATATGTGGGTGTATAATGTTACACTTTATGAATAATGAGTAAAAATTTTGTAAAAAACAAGGCCAACGGCCGGGTGGATCTGGTGGCATTAGCCCAGATCCAAGTCACTTTTTGGGAGATTTGGTGGCAGAGCCAGCCAAATCGATTCAGTATTACCATGTAATGGTTAAAAAAGTGACAAACCTTTAGTTTTTAGTCAAATTACAAAAAAAAAACCAATATTTCTCAATTCAACCAAGAGATCAAGTACAAGATCAGATTTCTTTTAAATGCAAACATCTTTATTGCATATTTACATTATATCAAAATCAATGATCTGGGATCCAGATTGCTTTCCTAGATTTGAAATATGACTATAACCTTTTCTATTATTCCAAAGACAGTAAAAAGTTAAATTATTTCTTCATTTATTAAAAATGCAAAAAAATGTTTATAGAGCTTTTTCCAAATCTTTTTTAATCCCAAAAAAGTCCTTCTTTAAATCAAAGCCAAAATTTCATTTAAAATTCCTATTATTAACATAAACATTACAGCAGAAGTAGACAGATTCCTGTACTTTTCAAATTTTCCTTTTCCAGAAACTTACTTCTTTATTTTACCTCTTTTATCCAATAATCTCAAGGATCTTCCAAGAGACAACTTTCATCATGTCCCAATTAAAAAAGAAGTGATCTTAAAAATCTGGATTTTAAAATAATCAGATCAAAAGATTTTTTACAGTCTCACTTAAAATTTCACAATTTTACTTCAACCTTTTCTCCCAAATTGTTTTTACCATTTGACCTTGATTAATTGGATCTTGAATTTGAGCAGTATTTTCTATTAAACATTACAATACATGATATAGGATTAGTAGTATATAGCCTTAGAATCAAATACTACTTTAAGTATCTTCCGTCATATTTTTTTAAACAAAAAAGTTTATTGCCATACAATTTCTACTATTCTTACAGCCAGTAAATATAACATACAATCATTAATCAATTATCTCAAAGAAGAATTCTTCTTCTTACTTTTCCTAAGCTCCCAATAGGTCTTAACAATTATTTTTTAAATAGATAAATCCAAATTACTAACAAACATTCAAGAAGTGAATTTATTATTTAATCTTGACCAATTTATTCTTAGGGATAATGAATTAAAACAGTTAATTAAAAGATTTTATAACATATATGAATTTCAAAAAATTTTCAAGGAATGGTTTTGGGTATTTCTATTATCATTATCAGATAACCCTGCAACCATTAATCAAGTTCTAAAGGAAAGTAACATTTTTTTAATTAGCATTCCCCTGTATGATAATGATATTATTTTAATCAACATAATAAATTTACATAAGATTTTCCTTTTCAATAAACTTCCTGAATCCCTAATCATCAAAAAAACACTTCCAAAACTGAAGTTCCTTTCATCTCCTTCTTATGTTAAATTATTTATGTCTACAAATAACAATGCTATCATTAATAAAACTCTCTCCCAAACAAATCTGCGTCTGAAAAAACTACCAAAAAAGGAAACCAAAAATTTTTTCTTCGAAAAAAA